CCGCACCCGCACCCGCACCCGCACCCGCACCCGCACCCGCGGCTGCAGGGACTCTTGAGCCAAAGCTGTTCCAGCCCCGAGGAGTCTCGGACTTCGCTTCCTCCACAGCCTTCCTCCTGAAATTTCGTTGGAGTTTCTCTTTCTAACCGCTGCCCGGGCGTCCACTTGGCCTTGCCCACCTCCCAAATCCTGCCACGACCTCCTGGTGACAGGTTCCATATTTGGAGCTGCATTCTCGCTACACCTGTCTCGGCTGGGGAGAGACGCTTCTTCAGTGGCCCCCAGCAGCCTGGCGGCACCCGGGAGCTCGCGGGAAATGCAGAGCCTAGATCCTTCACCCAGACCTGTTGGATCGGTTTCTTAAGACCCTCCCCCCTCCCTCCCCAAGCGATTTGCGGCGCAGTGAAGGTTGAGTAGCCTTGACCTAGACCGCAAGGGGGCCGTGGGATCCAAGGGAGGCTTGGAAACAAGGAGCCTCACCTGGGGCCGGTGTATCTGAGAATACGGTCTTCAGCCACGTCCTGAAGTTGGATGATGACTGACCTTTTGTCTGTGTTGGAGAAGATTCAAGTTCATGTGAGGCATTAGGTTCCAGGCATGGCCTTACGAGGCTCCCCCTGGGACTCCCAGGACCTGTCCCTTTTTCTATGGCTAACGTGTTTTTTTTTAATCAGGAAAATTCTGTGAAATACGTCTTATAGAAGCTGAAAAACTTGAGGTGTCAATACAGAAAATTCTAGATGTAATAAAGTCAGTGACCTGCGGAGACTTAGACCAAAACCCTACCCAGCGTTTTTCAAACTCCAGGAGGCATCAAATTACCAGGAGGGCATTTAACACTCAGACTGTGGGGCTCCACCCCTAGAGTTTCTGATTCATCCAACTTGGGTGAGGCTGAGAATTTGCACTGACTTCTAACAAGTCCCCGGGGGATGCTGATGCCATTGATCCGGGGACCACACTTCTGAGAATCCCTATTTCCAAACCATAGGATTATGGCTGCTTGGGGGGAGGGGGGGGCATATTAGCCCTTAAGGATTATACAAAAATAATCCCACCAGTGACATATCATTGCAGAAGCGTAGTGAGTTCCCCTGATCCAGTGTGAACTTGAGTACCGATCTGAATATTTTCCTGTACTTATGCAACAGACAGCATTTTCATTTCAAGGGTGTGTCACCTATAATATTGTCTGTGTTCAGGCACCACCTTGATTGAGACAAGTACTTCCTTTTTCTACTAGTGGCAATTTCACGTGCACACCAATCTCCTTTTTTAGGGGCTTGTGAAAAAATGTGGCATTCAGGTTGTGAGCTCTGAAAAGATTTTTTCCTGATGATACAAATCAAAATATACCAGTGGACATTAAGGGGGAAACTGGCTATTCTTTGCACTGTATTCCCAGAGTCCTTTGCAATGCCCCGTTTTAACTCTCTTCACATTGTGTTCAAGTTATTGATCTACTTTCTCAAGGGCTCATGGGTTCCTCAAGGGCAGGGCATTCTTCCATTTTTTTTTTTTTTTTGGAAAAAAAAAAGGAAAAAAGGAGATGTTTACTTTTCTACTATTTGCCCAGTTTGTGTTAATAAACAGCAAGGAAGTTGTTTTTGGGTGAAGATGGCTGTGGGTGCTCACTCTGGGACATCAGAGATGTGCATGGACTTTTGTGCTTTGGAGATTTCATGGGCTGTAGAGCGGGAGTGGTTGAGGGCTGGGGGCTTGTTGTTGATGGTGGGTGTGCTTCTGTCCGGGGGCGGGGACAGAGTTTCTCCCCCACTGTGTCCAAGCATGTGTCTGCGCTCAGTGCGTGCTGTTCTCTAGAACTCACCAGTGAGTCTCAGTGACCGTCAATGGTCGACTGTGTCACAGCATGTCCCTCCCCTCCCCTGCCCGTGTATGTGTCCCCGGACTGGGGATGCCGTGCCCTCGCGCTGGGTCTCCGTGGGTTCTCTCTGATGCTGGCTGTATACTGTGGTCCACAGCCAGGGGTCCTGTCGCTGGGTCCGTCTCCCCATCAGGGTATCCTTGCTGTCCCGTGTCGCTACAGTGTCTGATGTTCGTGGCCCTCTCCAATAGCACTATGCTTTCCTGTCTGCATCCCTGAGTCCAGGGACCCATGCAGAGCTGGGAGGGTGGGGGCTCTGTGTCCCCGAGGTCAAGGAGGCCGGCTGGGAAGTTAGCGGCTGGAGATTAGATTTCATGGGCTCACAGGAGGAAAGGAGGGAGAAGGATCCAGGTTCTGGTTTGGGGCAGGGCCAGGCCAGGATCCAGGGTCTCAAAATCATCATTATAAGACAGTCATAACTGCTCCCGTCTCTGGAGCTTGTTCCCTGTGCTGGGCACTGTACTTTGTGCTTTATATATTTATATTGATAATGTTTTTGTTCAGTATTACAGATTAAGTATTTATATTATATGTATAAATAAAAATTATGTGGATTGTTCCTAATGTTTATGAATAAGATTTAATTATGTCAGTTATAGATTTCTTTATATAGTTATTTTCTTTTTTTAAATGTTTAGGGGTGCCTGGGTGGCTCAGCCGGTTAAATGTCTGACTTCGGCTCAGGTCATGATCTCACGGTTCGGTTCGTGGGTTCGAGCCCCACGTCCGCTCTGTGCTGACAGCTCAGAGCCTGGAGCCTGCTTCCCATTCTGTGTCTCCCTTTCTCTGCCCCTCCCCCACTTGCGCTCTGTCTCTTTCTCTCAAAAATAAATAAACATTTTTTTAACATTTATTTTTGAGAGAGTGAGAGAAAGCGAAAGAGAGAGAGAGAGAGAGAGAGGGTGCGAGCACACAAGGGGGGGAGGGGCAGAGAGAGAGGGGGAGACACAGAATCCGAAGCAGGCTCCAGGCTCTGAGCTCTCAGCACCGAGCCCGACGCGGGGCTCAAACCCACGAATCACGAGATCATGACCTGAGCTGAACTCTTAACCCACTGAGCCACCCGGGCGCCGCATAGTAAATTTCTATTGTCCTTTTCTATCATCCCATTGAAGGTAGGAGGAAACCAAAGCTCAGAGAGGTGAGTTCACTTGCCCAAGGTCACTCAACAGAGTGACAAGAGTCAAAACTTTGAACCTACTTCCAAGTGTTTCTAGCCTTTGGCTCCTCACCCCTGTATGACCCTGGCCAAAGCGGGGAGACAGCATCTGGGGGCCCCGGGGGTGGGGGCAGGGTGAGCTGGTCGGGGAGAAGAGCAGACTGTCTTTGATGTCGCCTTGTGCTGCTTTGTGTTTATTGAGCTCTTACTGTGTGCCAGGCACCGTGCTCAGGGCTGACCTAGTAACAGTGATGGCAAATGCCCACAGGACACTTGGCAAGGGCCCTACCATTAGTGTTGTCACGGGGACTAACTCACTGACCCCTTATGCCAGCATCCTGAGGTGGATATCATCGTTGTCCCCCTGGGGCCCTGCTCAAAGAGGAGCTGGGATTTGGCCCCAGGCAGCCTGGCTCCGTAGGCCGTTCACTTACCCCCTCCCTCTGTACTTTCTGTCACCCTTTGTAATCTTCATAACAATCATCCATTAAAAATTTTTTCATGTTTATTTATTTTGAGAGAGAGAGGGAGAGAGAGAGAGAGAGATAGAGAGAGAGAATCCAAGCAGGCTCCACACTGTCAGCACAGAGCCCGACAGGGGGCTCAATCTCACCAACTGTGAGATCGTGACCTGAGCCGAAATCAAGAGTCAGACACTCAATCGGCCGCCCAGGTGCCCCGGAATATCACCCATTTTACAGATGAGGAAACCAAGGCCAGACTTGGCCTTACCCACAGAGCCACAGACTTGAAACACTGATTGTTGATGGGTTCATCCACTCTTCACTCTGTGCTAGCCTGGCAGGCAGCCAGGAACTCCAAAGTCTCTGAAGGGTCTTGGCCAGGCTCCCAGATGCCCAGCTCCCTGTCCCCCTGTGAGGTCCCAGCCTACCCACCCTTCCTTTGCTGCTCCTTAAGTTTCCCTTCGGCTTGTGTCATTTCTGCTTGCTGATTGGTCACCGCTTACTGTATGTTACAAGAATTGTCTACTTTTTCCCAGGTTAAAAGGTTTTCGTTTAGGCTGTGTTTGTTGCTATACAAAAGGTTTACATGTTATACAGCTCACTAGGTCCTCTGTTTATCTTATAAATTCAAGATTTCCAGTCTTCTTAAGCAAATCTTCTGGCTCCTGGGAAATGGGGAGGAGGTTGTGGCAGCCTCCTGTTCCTCCCTTCTCCCCTTCCAAGGCTTGCCTTTCTTGGGGAGGGGGGTTGTTTGATACCTTCTTGTCCATTTGTAAGCACTCTTTATATATTATAGCTATCATTGATACACTGTCCCAAGTGTTGCGATCTCCCACCCCCCACCCCCACCCCCAAACCTTTTTATACGTTGCCTTGAGGTGGTAAAAACCAAGCGTTGTCCTGATATGTCTAATTCACAGATTCTGGGTTTCCAACCTTGGTTGGGAATCTCTCCTGTTCTGGGGGAAGTGGGGTCTTTCTCCTCCTCTCCTCCCCTCCTCTCCCTTCCCTCCAGGGCCTCTCTCTCCTTACCTCCAGCTTTTCCTTTCCCAAGGTCCTGTGTCCTGATAAGGGGACTTGCCCAGCCTGGAAACCCAGCCCCCCACCCCCACCCCGCCCTCCGTTGATCTCTCTTTATTTGGAAGTGGGCGGGGGGGGGGGGGGGGGGGGGGGGGGGGGGTGGGTTCCAATCCCTGTCGGTTTTCTAGAGCTCTTCGTACCTATACCTATAAGGCTATGCTGCCCTCCTGTTACAAGAGACTCGTCCTCAAGTCCCGTTAATCGACTTTTAAAAAATAACGTTTGCCACGTGAAAGTTACTAGGTTGTATACAAATCTGCCCATCTCGTGTTCAGCGGCTGTGGGTTTCCGGCCTCGGTTAGGAAGGCCTCCCCGCGGGGGAGGCGAGGGAGGGCGTCCTTATCTCGCAGCTTCTCCCTTCCCACGGGTCAGGCGCATAAAAGCTCGAGGGGACGCGGCCCGAAGTGTCGCCATGTCCCCGCTGTGCGCCCTGCTGCTGGCCCTGGCCCTGGTGGCCGTCCCCGGCATCCGAGCCGCCTGCCCGCTGCCCGCCGACCTCAAGAGGCCGGACGGGACGCGCACGTGCGCCAAGCTCTACGACAAGAGCGACCCCTACTACGAGAACTGCTGCGGGGGCGCCGAGCTGTCGGTGGAGCCGGGCACCGACCTGCCCTTCCTGCCCGCCGACTGGAACAACGCCGCCTCCTCGCTCGTGGTGGCCCCGCGCTGCGAGATCACCGTGTGGTCCCTGCGCGGCAAGGCCGGCAAGACGCGCAAGTTCTCGGCCGGCGCCTACCCGCGCCTGGAAGAGTTCCGCAAGGGCATCTTCGGAGACTGGTCCAACACCATCGCGTCGCTCTATTGCAGGTGCCCGCCCGCGCCCCGGCCCCGCCTCCGCGTCCAAAGCGCGGACCGCCCCCCCCCCCTCCCCGCCCCCGGCGCCCCCGACCCACGTGGGGAC